TGCCCACTGCCTCAACCCTCATTTAATTTCTCTCCTTAGCCACTCATCAGAATCGGTACATCTGTCCCATTGTTTTTGGCTTCTGAAAAACTTCACCTCCCTGAGATTTAATGCTTATCTTTCTACTTCCATTCATCTAAGCAAGTATGAAGAATGCGAGTCACCACAACTCCCCTTAATTACCAGAACAGAAGCTGATTAATGCATTTCTACTGGCAGTTGCATTTGCTGGCAGTTACATATTTTCAGAACTTAAGTATTTTCTGTGAGTGAAAACAGAGAAGGCCAGAGTTAACATATTAATCACATTGTAGCTGTCTAGTTGAGGAAAATCCCTTTTGCTTAAACACATGTGAAACATTCAGAATACACAGCTGGCACATGCTATGGAAAGTAATAACCTTTTGAGTCTTAAAGATGTACAGAAAGGTTCTAGAAACATGGAGACTGCAGAAAATAAGATAAATGTAATTGATGTTCACAGCATTATTAAACAGAGGTGCACATATCTAAGAAAATGTCCTACAAAAGTTGGGCTTCGAAAAAATCCTATGCAACTCATCTGACAAGATTCTGGTAAATTGCACTAAAAAAAAAATGACTAGCTGATGTATCTATGGATTTGTTGGCTGGTTTTGTTTGTTTGTTTGCTTGCTTGTTTGTTTTGTTTTGATTTTTTTTTTCTCCCCCTTGTTTTTTGCTGGAATCTTTCCCTATATGTATTCTGTCTAAATGCTGCCACAGCAGAACTGTCTGTTCCATGCAAAGTAGTCTCAGAGACATCTTGCACTTTTTACAAAGATCAGGAAACGTCTTCTCTCTTTAAGAATACACATCACTGGGGATTAGGAGGCAGTTAAAAAGCAGGTAGTATCACACCAGTACACCAAAGCATGTGAATCTCAACTGCTCTATTATTTTCCTAAACTGAAAGATGAAGAAGCATAGGGAATCATTAATTTAATACTGTGCTCACCACAACAATGCTTAATCCTGTGCCAGCAGTCTGGCAATTAAGAAAATGGTTAACTTTGCTGTAATTTAAGGAAAACAAAACAAAGCCCCAGAAAGCACACTTTTTCACCTACATAATTTCATCTGTAGTTTTTCAAGATTAATTCACACTAAACATTCCAGCAGTTTGCAATTAACATTAGAGACTGACTTATTTTCAATTCTTAAAACTTCAGTTACTGTTGAATACATGAATTTCAGTCAAAAGACAACCACCTCACCTAGGAAGATCCTCTTAACTGTAAGATACTTTGCTTACTTTACCACAATATTTCCTAAAGTCTTCGCCTTCACTGGTTCCTTATTTTCATCCAGAATCATCACTGTAAAACAGTAATATGGAAAGACAATTTCTGTTAAGTTAAGTGGTGGAAAGAGTTTTTCATTATGAATATCAACTTTTGTCACACTTAAGAATAATAATACACCAAGCAACAAAAGGTATTAAGTAATTTGGGAGTACAATACTGGATGACCTCATGACACAATTAACATTCAGCCTTAAGTACAAAAAGCTTTAAACAATACTTGTGTTCTGGAAGCAGACACAGAACAAAGTCAAAAAGGGAGAAATACAGAACTGAAAATAAAAGGCACCTTCATACTGAAAAATCCAAGCCTGCATATAATGAAGGATCCTTCAGATACATGAAAAATATGAGCAAAAAGGGTTCAGATAAGACAAGTAAGAAAAAAGATTATTGGGGGCTCATCTAGCAAATGCAAGAAATGTTATTAGCAATAAATAAATGTGCCTGCTTTTCAGAGGCTCTCAGGAGACTCCAAAAGATGCTCCCCACCAACAAGGGTTACTCTAGCCTAGCACAAAGAAATAATGTAACTTGGGAATAACCCAAAGCCACACAACAGGGTAACACTAGAGAACACCAGAAAATCCAGACCTTGGAACAGAAGACTTTCCTGGATGACACTGACCCATCACCTTCAGATCATATCTCGGTATGGAGGATGTAGTTTTCGGGGGAAAAACACCTGAAATAGCCTCCTCAGTGCAGTCATCTGGGAAAATCCATCATAACCACCCATTCTATCTGAAGGCACAGGCATAAGGAAGGAATGGTAGATTGGCTATGGTATTTCTTAACTAGAGCATTAACTTGGCCTAGATGAGTGGAATTAGTGAAATGACTAAACCATGGAAAAACAGAGAGGAATGTTTTTGACAGATTGGTCTGACATGGATTTAAAAAATGCTTTTTGAAGCCTGTCCAAGCAAATAAAGCTATGTTCAGCTGGAATTAAATTAATACAAATTATCTTACATTCTGTATTAAGAAGTTAAAGAGCAAATGAGGAAAAGAGGATGACAGATTTCTGAGTAAAACCTTCCTAAGAGTTCTATGAATTATATCATATCTTATCTGTCTGTCCATAGAAAGCCAAACATCTGTAATTGCTCTATTTCTGTCTGAAGCCACTCCTTCAGAGGATGATATTTTTTAAGTAACTGAAGAGCCCCTTGAAAGCAAGGGATCAGTAGACAGGCAAGTCAGTCACACCAGTTCTTCAGCTCAGTGAGCTGGAAGGAGCAATAGGGGTAGGAGATCAAAAGCATGAATGGAAAAGTAAAAAAACACTTCAATGAAAAACAGCAGACTGTTGTAAATAAAATCCACTTCAAATCTTTAGGCATTTTTTTTCTTTTTTCCATCTTTTTAGATGCCATGAGAATATGGAAATATTACATTTTGAGAATTTAGACTCAGAATACAATGATACACACCCCTGTATCTTTCAGTGCTCCTCATCAGCTTATTTTCCTATTTTTATTATATCAAAGTAAAATGTAAACAGTTTATTTTATCAGGGTAGGAATTCCAATATTTATTCCCCTTTTTGGAAAAATGCATTTCAATGTACTAAAATCTGGGGAAAGTGGATGCTACACTGTTTTGTACTTAATTACTGAATAACTGAATAACAGACTTAATGCTTCAAAATGTGAGACTTGCTTCAGTTTGTGAACAATGCTATGGAATTATCTGAAAAAGGTATAAGTAGACCAAAGAGAAAGTACAACTCAATGCCAGATTTAAAGCAACAGTGCTAGAAATTATTATGGTATCTCCATTCACATTTAAATGCCATTTGCACCATTACACATTGAAATTATAAATATAAATGCTACTTTGAAAGAATTTGGCTATATTTCAGAAGAAGTAGATTTGTAGCTTTCTGCATATGTCATAGCATAAATAAAATGTTATTAACATCCGAAAATCACTACAAGTTACACATATATTCCAAGAATACAAAATCTTCTATATGGCATAGAGAACCCTTCTCATTGATACAGTAACAGCAGCCAAAACAACATCAGAACAGACGTGGGTGACAGCTGTCAGTACACAGTAATTTCAAGATTCACTATTTCATGAAAGGCTGCATTACTGAGCATTACTGGCTTCAAACCAAAGACTGAAAATGGTACAGTTCTATCCTAAAACTTCAGTGAATTTCAGTATTCAATTGATTGTTTTTCCTTTTTATTGCGTGTTTTAAGATATTTCCTCTGTTCTGTGTAAAGGAATTCCTTACTTACATTTGATGCCATGTTTCAAAAATACAGAAACATTTTTATGTTCTTGCTCCTCACACATTTGTTTGGCACAACATTTTTTCAAGCGTGTATAATGCAATTACATTCTTTCACTCTTCCCTAAATTTATGGCTTTGTTTTAATGCTGTTTTTAACCTATAGTTTGTCTTCATGCTACAAATGCCAAAACACAGATCTGCTGAAAGTGGTTATTTTCTTAAATGTTCATTTCAATTTGTATCTATTAGAATCAGAAAGAGCAAAGCTTTTTGTGCCCAAGGATGTGAGAATCTTTCTGGAAGATAATTTGATCTTTAAGAAATTTAATTACTTTTTGGACTTCAAGGAACTCTTGAAATTTGTGTTAACATCAGAATTCCCAGGTATGAAAGTATTTTTGCATTCTTAATCCTGCAGCCACATTCTCTTACATACAAATAGCTTCCCGACAATGCATGCTCTACTCTCCCCTTTAATGTTTGTTCATAGCCTGCTATTTCTCCCAGCTAAAAATAAATATGCTCCACAACTACTAGAAGATACTGTGCTGAGCACCTCTCTCAAAAATGAGTTCACACACCTGTACATATAGGCAGCATACGGGCTTTTATTTAAAAAAAGAAAAAAGAAAAGAATTAAACAGGTTAATAAGAAAATTAATTTTTCCAATAGAAAATTTTACAAGCTGCTTGTTAGTTCGCGAGTGACTTATCAGTGGAAGACATTGATGTTACACTAAGAATTCTCTTTATGCACTTCAGGATACTCCTCATATGGAATAGTGGCATCAAAAGAAAATAACGATAAGTGAGTCTCTGAGACATAATTATTTGAGGTACACCTCCCAAAACAAAACTATTTAGGCTCTGAAAATCGATAATATAGATGTGCGAGAACACTCAGACTGCGAGTTAAAGCAATTATTTGTCTACTTATCATTTCCTCTTCTGCTGATGGTTATTACTAACATTCTTCTTCCCAACGTGCCAATACTGCTGCTTCTCATTTAATTTGTGCAATTGTAGACAAAACCTTAAAGCACAGTGTTCTTTACGTATCTTTGTTACATCCAGTTTAGAAATACATGCTATTCCTTTTATATAATAATGGTACAAGTAGCTGATTAATGATTTTGATAATTAATCTGAATTTGTTATGTACAGTCACGTTTCACAAGACAAAAAAAAACAGAGCTACTTGTTACAAGAGAGAAGAAAATCTGTTAGCAAGACTGTAATATGCTTTCCCTATGAAGTTTAAAAACTAAAGTGCACTTAAATTGCACATAAGCAATATGGTTTTCTAGCAGCATACTTGGTACTGCCTTACCATTGTATCCTGGTACTGGTTTTCCTGCCTGTCCGGGTGGAGGCATCGTAGAGTTCCCCAAACCAACACAAGAAGCAGTTATTGGAGAACCAGATTCTGTTAAAAGAAAGTAAGTATGTTAGGTAAGATTGCTCTTATTATTGTTTAGTATCTATTGCTTCCAAGTTTTCTAAGTTCAGCACATAACAATTAAAAAAAAAAAAAAATTAAATGCCAGGCAAGCAATGGGAGATTTCAGATTTGTATGTGTCACATAGTAAATATAAATTCATCACAGAAATCTGCATTCTTCACATGGGAAGTTTTTCCATTACACAGTAGAAAATCCAAAATTAACATCTTCTGCATTACACCTGTGCCTTATTCTGCTATGATTACACCACACCAGAAGGAAACTGCCTACAGCAAAGCCATGATAAACACTGTGTGTGATAGATGCATTTCAGTGGTTATTTCACAAATCAGTGTTCTATTCAAGAAAAAACAACAACCAATTCTTGGTTGATTATCTTATCACTGTAGGGCAATATCAAAGTATCAGTTGTTCTATTGTGGAATTGAAAAATTCTATCAATTCTGAGGTCTGGAAGGTTAATAAATGCAGAATCTCCAAGACAATATTGGTCAAGACGATCACAGAAAAGGTAGCCCCTCATAAAAATGTACTGTAAGTAATTCAGATAAATCAGAAATACTTCTCTTATAATCCTGAAGCTATCATTAGAATTTCTTGATGAGAACTACTTCAAATAATGAAAAGATTCAAAAAGAAATAAGATACAGAAGTCAGACCTAAATTTTACATGCTGCCAAAATAAAGGCATACTGAAAAGAATAGTCTAAAGAATAGGAATCAAACTGCTGCAAGACTTTGTGATCATAGTCCAGCTGTTTTCTACTCCTGCATCTAAAAACACGAAAGTTTTACTATCCGCAGTATTATTAGAGGTTTTGTGTTTGAGGGTTTTTTTTGCCAGAAGACAAATTTCTCCCAGTTTTTGAACCTCAGAAAGATATCCCATAACTGCAGACAAATAAATTAAGCATCTGCACTATGTACCTTTGCTCCCTGCAAGGAGCCCACAGAAGGCAAGTAGGTCTGCAATTCCTGCTGCAGAGCTAACACAAAATACCTTCCTCACACAGCATGAATATCCCCTGGTATGCCTACACCTTCCTAATTATCCTCACTGTTAGGCAGCTACAAAGCCCTCCCTTCTCACTTGCCCTTTTTTTATTTCTCCCTTAAGAAAGCTCAATTTCACATGATGCAGTTATACTACAAGAGTTATTAAAAAAAGAGGAATAAAGAACAATTAAGTCATACAGTAGAGTCTAAGTGTAAAGAAAGACCAGCTGTTATTCTTCTCTATAAGCAAAAAATATAGAGAAATTTCTTTTAAATGTTTCTGTAACTCTGAGCTGGAGGAAAAAATAAAAGTGTCTAGGTAGCTGTAAATATTACCAGGAACACAGCAAGGCACCAGCACTATAAAAATGTAGCATTATAATTCTGGAGATGTCGCAACTCTCAGGTCACTTGACCTGGAATTCATAACCCACATCAAGCTCAAGCTTCAGCACAGCAAAGCAGGTTTGTATTGACCTCTGTATTTATCTCTGATCAGCACGGCCAAAGATATTCTCAGTTCTCTTGCATTGGAAGTCACTACAGTTGTTTTTGCTTTGGATTTTCTCAGCTTCCACAGCATTCCTCAGCCACCTCAGAAGTTCTTTAATGACCATTCAATTCCCATAAGAACAAGAACAAAACTGCCACGTGTTTCTGTAATTTTAAGTTAGTAGGTAGCTGAAAATCAACATTAACATCACATAGTAAAGCTAGCGCCTAACTTCAACTGTGGAACAACCCTCAATGCCAGCACTGGTAGGCTAAAAAATTGACTTGGTTGTTTCACATTTCTATTAGTCTATTTTTCTACACAATGCACGTTTCCCACACAAGCACTGATCCTGTTTTTTTTCTTCCAAAAAGCTGCAATTACAGAGGTGACACATCAGCAAGATCTAAAGTAGCCAGTCAATGATCATGCTGAAGAGAAACCCACAATTTATTCAGCTGTTTCAGAGCTCTATTTTCTGCTCAGTACTAAGTAAGTTGTTGACCTCAACTTCTTTCCTCTCTTCCTGAGATAAGAAGGAAGAATGAAAAGTATATTCCTCAGTGTACTGGAAAAGAAAGTAGAGGGGGCCAGTTTATTTTTTGACAGCATTAGGAGGAAAGAAGGACTCCTGAGTGTTGTTCTTTACATATTGTATGTCAGGAACTAAAAACCAATAGGTCTTTATAATTGCTGCTATGTCTTCTATTGTCTTCTCAATTACCAGTGGAAATGCATCATTTTCATATTTACCAGTGCTCTAATCTCTATGCTGTGCATTCAATTCCCATGCCTGAATTAAGTATTTCTATACACAAGAAAAAAAAAAACCAAAAAACTGGTTTGTTGGTGTTTAGACCAGATACTAATTAAGAAAAGACACCCCAGAAGTATCCACTCTCTGTGTTAGGTTCACAGTTTCTGAATGCTAAACATTCCCTTACAAAGTAGAAGCACCGAGGAATACTGTCAAAGCATAGTGTGGATCTTTGTGCTGTACATTTCTTGGGAAATCAAAGTGTATCTTTCAAACAGGATGCTGGATTGAAATATCAATTTCCCAAACCCAACAGAAAACAGCAACTGCTTTCCAGGAGAGTGTTTCTCATCAAGGAAAAAACAGCCTTACTTGAAAGTGGAACTGAATCGAAAACCCTGCTGAAAAAAAAAAAAAAAAATCAACATTGCTCAAAAGAAAACAGAAAAATAACTACTGATGAGGAATCTTCCTTATCAGATATGTGTAATACAAGCACTGGGTGTTTTTTGGTTGTTTTTTTTTTTAATATTTCCAGTAAGCAAGGCTGCTTAGAAGTCTTTGGTTTAAATTAAATTTGTGACAACTCACAAGTTACAAGACACAGATCAGAAAGTAAAATTCAGCAGGAGGCTGAAGACACTTTTCAAATGAGCATTATATTCTACCCACCTCTTAAACCAGGCTTCAAAATAGACAGATACCCATCACTTGTTCATATTTGCAGACTCTCTGAAATTAGTGTGCAGTGTCTTGACAGATTTCTAGTGTCAAAATTTTTAGAGAATTGCATAATTCCAATGTTACAAATAGAACAACTGATCTGTCTTCCAATTTGTCCTTTCAGCACACATTTAAGGAGCAAATCTTCCACTCCCTATGCAAGCAAGTCAGCAATCCTCTAGCTGGGGAAGGCTTTTGAGGACAACTGGACCATAAAAGCAATTTCCTTTTTGCATAACACCTTATAACGTGACAATGAAACAGCTATTTAGAAGAGCAACGTTTCACAACTAGCGTGTAACTACATTCAACATCTGCTCTGAATTATAATGGAGGAAATGTATCTACCTCTGAGAATAATGAAAAGCACTTCACTGAAATTCACAAGACAGAATCACTGAGAGATTGTCTTAAAATCATAGCTGTTAAAGTGTCCCAAGTCCCTCATTACGTTTTTATTTTCAGCATAGGGGCTGATCTAAAGAAATTCACTCTTAAATTTTGAAGATGTGACTCTTCATTTTATTCTACTCCACACGAACATAAAAGACCTAAAGAGATTTCAGTATTACTGAGTTATACTGGACAGCTAATGGATAGTCTTATACAGGCATTTCTGTTGCATTTGTGTCTGACAGCTAACCTTACATTAGACGAAGTGCTGCAGATGCAGAAACACAGAGTGCGTTTGCTTACAAGTACTAAGGGAAGTTCATATGGGTACACCTGACTTTTTGCATAAGAACGGTTCCATCTTCCACACGCCTGCTTTGAAGAAGCCAAGCTCTGCCAAGTGATGCAGAGGTACAGCTATTAAGTTCTGTGCTCAAAATTGTCTTACTCATTTGCAGCACACGTTCAAGTTCAAACAAAACAGTGTTTCAAAATAACTCACAACTTTCAAGCTGAAAAACATCCTGTACAGCTTACAGTGCTGATACATTACAATTCCTAAACTGTTCATGTTCATATTACACAATATACTGTCATACTGCTGAAATATTTTATTCCCTGGAGGATGAACTTAGGGAAAATACACTGCATTCTGACATTTGAGTTTGGGCAACACTAAATGACTAACGTAAGGCTACCTGGTTTGGTTTGTTAGGCTGTAAGAGAGAGATGATGAAGCATGCAAAAGAGGTGAGGAGCTCTTATAAAGCAGGAGACAAAAGAAAAAGGAGCAACTGCCATACATCAACACATGAACACACACAATATGTGTAATGAACTAAATTCTTACTGCAGCAGTGCTGTTTTCAGCCATTACAGCCATTCTTCTGGCAAATCTGTCATTTGTACCAGACAGATGCTAGCACTCAAAATCTACCTCACAGGATACCATACTGTTTCTGTATAATAAAAACAAACCTAATGCATCATAAAAATATGTACTGGAGAGGAATATGACTCAAGGGGCAGATCATCAAATATCCAGGTTCTGCATCCTTAAGCATCCAATTTTGCAAAAATATCAGTATCTCAGGTGATTCTTCATGAGTAAAATCTAAGCAAGCTTCCATGTCTGCAACTCATTAGCAGTAAGTTACTTTACTCACAACTTGTAATTAAGCATGATTAAGTCATAACAGATTCTAGATAGCCATTCTGCAGGGCTTGTAGCCCAAACACCACTTCAATCTTACGTTTACTGCTCTTCGAAATGAACTTCAGATACTCTTTGTACAATATAGCCGAGTCCCTGCTGAAGGGACTCAAAGACATCAGCCACCAAGAAGTTTTCTTCATTTTTTCCCTAGAAGAGATACATTCCCCGCAGAGCTTCAGGTCAATGCCTGAGATATGATGAAGCATTCATGCACAGATATACCAAGTACAACAGGTTTTGGGGCATTTAACTACAAATAATCTAATCCTAATTAGTCATCAGCATGAAAACAAGGCGATGACACCAGGTTACTCTTATCCCAGAACAATACATGGTGAAGATGTTCACAGGCTGGGAGATCCCAGTCAAGTGTGATGTGATGCTG